CCCCCCCCCTAATCCCCCATCCCCAAAAGTTTCTCAGCGGATTTGGGCTGTACTCAGCAAGCACAGTACAGCTTCCAACTCTGATCTGAAAAAAAATTAGTGGATGGTTGTTTTCTGACTGGTCGGCAGACCGCCGACTGGTTGGCCCTACTGGTCGGCTGCAATACGGTCGTCGGTCGGGGTCGGCGGTCGGCAGGGATGCAACCATGATCTGATACTAAAAAGGAACGCTGTAGCATCTTAGTGACACAAGTTAGTGGAGAAAGAAAAATCACAACAAAGAGGCATCTCCGAAAACAAACATACCGACAACCAAATGCACTGCACTGGTCTGAGCAAACCAACCTTCCAGGGAACCGCAGTCGGAAGTGGGAGCACCTGGATCGAAAACACAACCAAGCAACAGAAAACCAACACAAAGCAAGCAATGAATTGAGGAGTAAATGGGGCAAAAAAAAAGACAAGTACAGATGAGCATCCCTGTTCTGTTCAGCCTAGCCTAGCCTAGCCAAGCCACACAAAAAAAATAAAAAAGTCTTAGCAATGGGTCTCGCTCCGCTACTCTCCACTATATGAAAAAGTTGTTTAGTGTTTGTATACTACCCGTCTTCACCCGAAAATGACGCCCGAGCGTTATATTCAACTTACCGTAACAAGATGAGATTTTCGTTTTTAGTACTTTTACTCACTTTCTTTCAAATAGAATGCCCCTTCGAATAGAACGCCCGGGCATTATATTCATATAGAACACCCGGGCATTATATTCAAATAGAACACCCGGGCGTTATATTTGAATGTTCCATGGGGAGAGTGTGTTGAAGAGGTAGTATAGATGGGTTTTAAAGGGCGGGGAAGGGGGTATACATGGGTTTTGAAGAGGGTTGAATGGGATTTCGACTTCCAAGGGGTATATTTAAATAATATTTTGGCTTTAGTTTTCGTTTTTAGTTTTTATTTCCGAGTTCAAAAGGAATTCTGAAGTGACCCTCAGCCAAAAGTTGCTCGAATTCCAATCCTGGACAACATTTTATTTTATTTTTTACAGAATTTTAAATTTTTTGATTTTTTTTTTTTTTTTGGAATTTTGGGGCCTCACGGAAGTTACCACAAATTTACTGAATATAACGCCCAGGCGTTATAAACGAATATAACGCCCGGCGAGCGTTATATTTGTACACAACGCCCGGGCGTTATAGCACCCGGGCGTTATTTTCGGGTGAAGACGGCAGTTGTCAGACTCTACAAAATGTCGAAAAAAATGCATCTTCGCTCCACTAACTCGACACCGCCGATCATCCAAGGGCTCTCGAATTCGCGACGGCAGCAGAAGACAGGGTGACAGCAGTAGAAGACAGGGCGCCATCGGGATTTCTTCCGCCCAGAGTACCAGATCAGAGGCGTACTCCACAAATCCAGTCCCATTATTTGTGCACACAAGCTATCTTTCGGAGTCCGATACATGTGTTATGTACGGGGGAAGACGGTAGTGCAGTGGCACCTGAATTTTGCCCGATGAAGACTCTGGACCTACGCCACCGTCTTCTCGCGCAAATAGAACGCCCGGTCATTATCACTTTATTTTGGGCAACTTTCAGTCCAGATGCAGCCATAATTACCGGGCGTTCTATTCGGGTGAAGACAGTAGTTAGGTGGATAAAACTTGTGGAGAACCAAAAATCAGATAAGGAGAGCATAAGACCAGAAACAGAGATCTCAAGGATCTGAACCCCGCAATCAATCAGTGAAAAGCACTGAAAAACCACACACACACAAAAAAAAAAAAAAGAACAAAGATAAGCAAACTTCGCAAGTTGATACGTGAGTTAGGAGGTCTCTGATAAGAGAGGAGAGGAAATTAGTTTTCCTATGTTAGATTTCCTACTCATGCGAATGAATAATGCCGCATATATGCATTGCATTCATGTATTATTGCGCCTATTCAGCGCGTACAATGAATGTGAAAAGATAGCTAGTGAGAACACAAAACCTTCGCAATGCAAGAGGAGCTCATTGAAGAGCTAACATCAGTAAGCCAGTTGAAAAAGAAGAATGGCAAAAAAGCTGAGACCACGCCGATCATTGAAGAGCTACAAAGAGGAACACAACGAACACTAAGGTCCTTGCTACACCCCTCAACAGAGACACCCACACCTCTCAGAGACACCCATGCACAAGTGTTCATCCCTGCAGTCATACTTGCCCAGAGTACGTGCTGCTCGACGACACCCACCCATCTCTACCTTTTGTGGAAGCAGTCGCTAACTAACAGGGATCTCTGTTAGGTGAACACTCGACAACCTGGGCTACCTTCTTCCCCCGATACAACGTACGGTCATTATAGATGTATTTAGACTGAAAGATACCCAAGATACAGCTATAATTACCGTACGTTGTTTTCGGGGGAAGAAGGTAGTGTTGAGAACAAGAGGTGGCACAAGAGTATATCCATGTATATCATGGCTCCGATCCGGACGTTCGGACTGCCGTCCAGACGGTCTGGATTCAGTCCGGACTCCAGACATCCGGTCTGGAAGGTCCGGATCTGCCAAATTTCGAGGGGAAAAAAAAAAAAAAAAGGTCCAGGACCCTTCCCCATTGAGGAGCCAAGCCCCCAAAATTGTTTTGGGGGTTTTTCAGGCCCGTTTATGCTTTTTTGGGGGGTCCGGACATGCTCTCTCTCTATAATAATTGCTTAGATACCCCCAAATCTTTAATTATTAATTAATAATTCATCACTTTGTATTAGTTTTTTTTTATTTTTAAGTCTTTTTTTTAAGTTTTTTAAACTTTTTTTTAGTTTTTGACTTTTAACTTAAGTTTGGTTAGGAATTCGGACATGACTCTGAGGCAAAAGTGGTTTGCATTGTTATTCTGCATAACATACTTTTTTTTCAGATTTTTTTTTGTGCCAAAAGGTCCGGATGCGTCCGTAATTGCGGTCAGGTGCATCATTAGGAATCCGTCCGGTCCCCGGACATGAGCTGTCCGGGTCTGGGTCCGGCGTAGCCATGATATATATCCAGTAGCACATGGGTGACCGAAGACGACAGATGGTGTGAAAAGAGAACAGGAGTTGAAGGAGGAGGAGGAGGAGGCGGCGGAGGAGGGAGAGAGAGGGAGAAGGCGTGAGCGGTGTGATGCTTGCACAAAAACACGTCAGCAAGACAAACCCGTAATTGATTGAATGAATGATACAAGGTGCTGCTTTGAGGTTGTGCATCTTACCCAAGCGCAAAAGACGATCGGTGATCCATTGATTATAGACGACCACCACGTACGGTGTATATAGTTGTCGATGAGTGAATAGCCTCACCTCCAAAAAATTTGATCTGTGATCTGAGAACACTCAAGCATGTGCGGGGCCAACAGGTGGGTTATGCAAATCGCAGGCAGAAGAGCAGAGAAGACCGAGTCGCATGACGTCAGGTCAGCAAATCGACATCCCATCCCAGAGCGATGCTCTCCGGCCCCAATGCGGGAGAGGAAGGTGTAGGAGGAAGGAAACCTCTTCTCACCATGAGCATTGACAGACTTCTTTTAGTTTCGCCATCACACCTGGCACGACCAGTTCGAAGCAAGATCAACCGACACTCGTGTGACTGTCGAATGCATATCACCACAGAGCCAAAGATCAGCCCCTGTGTGAGTGTCGAATGCATATCACCATCGCGAGCACTCTTCCACACACACAAGCGACCGCGTGTTTTTTATATATATAGCATCCTCCGCACCCTCCAAGATAATCAGACGCGGGCAAGGACCAAGGGCACAACGAAGAGCAACACCGACTCTAGCAAGATGAACACGACGAACGAACCCTGTCGACACCCTTGCGCTACATGTCTGCTGCAAAAACAAAAACGAAACAAGCGCCAAAGAGCCAAAAATCGACATGCAGAGTCAGACGATGCCAACACCTACTGCCAGATCAGCAAGTCCCACACAATTTCTATTTTATTTTTTTTTATTTTTTTTTGACAGGTCCTTCTGGTATACAATCCCAACCCTGACACAATTGAGAACCCTAATGAGAAAAAAAAATAAAAATAAAAAAAATCATCAACATCATCCCACCATGGAAATAACATCACCATCACCATCACCACTGGAACTCAAAAACTCACCTCAGAGATCAATCTTTCAAAAGCGTTGAAAAAAAAAGTGAGTAAAAAAAAAAAGTTAAAAGAAAAAACTACTTTTATGGTTCCGCCGCGCTGCACCTTGATTCACCACAATAGCATTAAGGGCGTACTCACACAAGGAAGTTTTTTTTTACTTGTTTCTGGACGTAATTGCGGTCATATATATACATCCAGGTCCAGCCTATATGCAGGTAGACACATTTACGATCGAGCTACTGTGAGTATGCCCTGAGTGGTAAACACGCCGAACAGCAAAACAACAACTGCAAGAAAAAAGACAAACTACGAAGGAAAAAAAAAAAAAAAAAAAAAAAAACTGTGAAAAAAAAAACTGCCAAAGTGAAACCGTCAAAGAAACAAACTGCAAAACAAATCCGAAAAGAACTGCAAACAACATAAATAGTGAATTACACAAACAAATGCATTTCACTCACAAGCTCCGTGTGACACCTCGAAATAAGCATGACAGTTTTTTTTTTCTTTCCCCTTTAAAGAAACCTCCCCTTCCCCTCCCCCCCCCCTTCTCCTTATATACGATATATATCCTCAAACAGAGTATCACATGATATATATAATATATTTTGATATATATATATATATATGCATTTTTTAACTAAACTGTATTCTTCTCTCAATTTCACCTTTCACTACCTTCTAAGGAGCTAGCAGCTTCATTTGACAAATTAAAAATGACAATCAATTTTTTGGGAGCCAGCCACACTCGCGTCGCAGTTAGGCAGTGACACATGGTGAGGTTAGCTCCCCCCTAACGTCGTGTGGCGCCCCCCTCTCTACACTAGGAATGATGACATATGGTGTGGCTAGCCCCATACATTTGACAGTTAGGGCATATATACTCAAAACGGGACTTCCCTGGATGAATCTGCCTTCCATTACATCCAGATTCCATCCCGAAATTCCGAGTGTGAGTATGCATCAAGTCACTTCAGTTCCAAGTCTGTGTCGATTCTATTTTCACCTTCCATCGGCCCATACAGTTGTCAGAACTTATACATCATCATGTTCCTGACCACAAAGGCAGGGTCCTGTTTTCTCAAGGCATACTCACACTGGGACTTTTTCAACTAATCTGTGTCCCGTAATTGCGGTCATGCGCATCCACTACTGGCCGTAATTGTGGTCAGGTGCATCCACTCCTGGGCGTCATTGCGGTCAGGTGAATCCACTCCTGGCCGTAATTGCGGTCAGGTGCATCCAGGGAAGTGCTCGTGTGAATATATCCCCAAGTCTCCTAAGCCCCAGTTAGGCAACACTCCATGCTGCAGACCCACTCATCATCATCATCAGCCGGCAGGTCGATACCACAACATCACCTCCTCTTCTCCTCCTCAGCCACACTCCATGCACGTAACCGTTGATCAACAAGATCAGGGGTCCAAATCCACCTTTCGGACACACCACTGCTTGGTGCTGCTGCCCTCACCCCCACCCCCCCAAGGGTACAAATAAAAACATACAACAACTGGTATCATCACTCTCCTTGGTCTGTGATGGAGGATCAGTTTTTACTAGTCACCCTCTTGTACATAAAAAGGGACCTGTTGATCCCCCTTCCCCCCCCCCTTTCCTCCTCCCTCCTTCTCTCTCCTCCCTCCTCCTCTCTCCTCCCTCCCTCTCTCTCCTCCCTCCCTCTTTTAACCAAAAGTGAAAAGGCAAAACAAGATGGCAGACCCATCTGAACAGCCCTTGCCGGGGCATTGAAGTAGGGGGACAAGGCGTCAAGCAGGTTGCAGATATCGAGTAATTCAAGCGTAGACTAGAGGAGCACATCAGCGAGGACAGCTCGGAGCCATGCAGCACATCAGCAAGGAGAGGTGGGGGCCATGCAGCACATCAGCGAGGAGGTGGGAGCCATGCAGCACATCCGCGAGGACAGGTGGGAGTCGTGCAGCACATCAGCGAGGACACGTTCCCAAGTGCTGCCAAGGAGAATCCATAGGGTCACCCACCCTTGCTGGATTGTCTGAAAACGTTGACGAAGACGTGATTGCAGATGGAGTCAGAAAGTTACATTGTTCCTCCAAGTAGAACAAATTTGATAAGATAAGATTCATTATAGTTGTGTTTGGGGCAACTTTTCAGTCCACATATGGCAATAATGACCGTACGTTCTATTTGAAGGGGGG